GCAGAGCTGAGAGTTTATTTTCTAAAGCTAAGTGGTGCTAGCTAAGGATTCCAAGGCTTCGTGCTCTCTTCATATTTTACAATTCTGAATATCCTAAGAAGTAGAACTTCGCCCCCTTCAACCCTTTTCTAACTTGCCAGTGATAAAGCTTTACTCAGCCTAGAACTACAAAGCCGAGAAAAAGTAGTTCACATGGGCTGAGTAAATAGATATTATCCCATGGACTTATGCACTCTAATGTGAATTATGGCTTTATTCATTTTTCTTCGTAGTCACCAAAAGATTCCCAGCTGTATAGGAACAAAGTACAGAGGGAAATAAATTGAGTCCTCAAGCAATGGCCTTCCTAAGCCATAAATAAGTTCTACAAAGCTCTTCCGTAACTGTTCCCCTAACACCAACTGGGTCTCCCTATGTAGATCTGGCTGTCTACAACTTGTTCTGTAGACCAGGCCAGCCTTGAACTCACAGAGATCCACCTACTTCTGCCTCCTGGGCTCTGGAGTTAAAGGTGTGCCTACTACACCAGGCCTTCAGTAAACTCTTAAAGACCCTAAGCACAGTATCCATTTCCTCCAAGGCTCAAGGCCATTGTTAGATACCAACCTCACCCATTCATTCATTCATTCATTCACTCACTCACTCACTCACTCACTCACTCACTTCTCAGTTCCTGTCTGAACACTGAGTAGCAGGTGTATGTGTCCCAGCCCAGTGCTCTGGCTTTTAGTACCTACCACACATTATAAAGAGGGTAAGACAGACAGCAATGTCTTAACAAATGAGACTTCTACAAATTAGAGCATAGTCAAAGTAAAAGCAGCAAAAATCATTTCACCGAAAGGAAACTCCACACATTTCTAGGTGGGGTAGGTTAGACCTACTTTTGTTCAACAGAAGTCTTTTGCTCTCTCCAGAAGAGTTCCTGACAGTAAAAGGGCGGTGGCGGCTATTAGTCATGATTCCCTTGTCCCTCTTACATGTCACCTAATAATTTCAACCTAAAGCAAGTTTTTCTCAAACTTTCATGAGTGGAAAAACAGAATTAGAGGTAGAAGTTATTTCCTGTCTTAATATCGCTTTGCTTTTATATTCAGTTACTCAGAGATGAAACTGGGCAGTTTCACTCCTTATTTCATCATCCAAGTGTTTTCCGACAACATTCCTTTTGTGTCGGAGCTGCTCAGACACAACAGAGAATGACCAAATTAAAAAACTACTTTGCCACTGAAAATGTATCAACTTTGTATCAAGTTTCATATAAACGGAATGGCCAGGTCTAACCTCTCATATGTGTCAAACTGGACACACCCAAGTTTTTTACATTCTTTATCTTATATTACTATATTATTATATTACTATCAGAACACTAGCAATAATCCTGAACTATAATATAACTCTCCAATTCAGCAAACTGCCATTGATACAGGGTTGGACACCTGAAAAACCCGAATACTGGTGAAATCCACAGGAAGACAGTGTTTTCAACTGAACTTTTAACTGAGAAAAGTAAATATTGCAACAGTGACTTCTATGCCACAAGCCTGAGAAAGGGACCTTATTCTCCCCACTGAACAGTGGGGTCCATGTCTTTTCCCCTCCCACCTGAGTCAGGTTTTGGGACTACTCAGGCTAATGCTGTAAAGTAAGTGATCTTGAGATGGACTCGTAAGACACAGTAAGGGAAATAAGCAATAGAATATAAGAAACATGCAGAACAGAAGGTAATGTCTAAATCAAGAAATAAAAATCAAAGAACAAAACAACAACAACAACAACAAAAAACAAACTTAATTTGAATAAAAATCTGAAAACTTTAGCAGGTACCTTACTTGTCCAAAGAAAACAAATAAAAAGATCAGTGTCAGTAACCATCAGGGAAACTCAAATAAAAAAACATACAGAGCTATCACCTCACACCTGTTAGCAGAGCTGTTCTTTAAAACAAAAGCTTGAGCCCAGAGTGGCAACAGGCCTGGGTCTCAGTATTCAGACTGAGGCACGAAGAGGAAGAGCTCAAGGATAGTCTGGAGAACATACAAGACCATATTTGAATAAAACTCCAAACCAGAACAACAGATAATGAAAACTGGTAAGAAAATGAAGAAACTGGTACCTTTGAAAACTGCAAAATAAAATGGTGCCGTTGTTACGAGAAGTAGTGTACATGCTTCTTAAAACCTAAGAACAGAACTACCCCATACAATCCAAAAATCCCACTTAGTGTTTAGCCAAAAGAACTGACATTGGGCTGGGTGTGGTAGTGCATGCCTTTAATCTCAGTACTCACAGCACGGGCAGGAGGACAGATTGGTCCACATAGTGAGTTTGGTGCCTGTCAGGGACCTAGTAATATCTCAGGCCAGTAAGAAGCGCCAGTCACAAATACTATGTAATCCCACTTATGCGCAGTACTTACATTTATCATATCAAAGGGTAGATACATTTTCAAGTATCTACTTACAAATTTAAAATTATATACTTAAAAATTAATAGGGTAGGTAAGCATTCCTATTACACCAAAATAAACTGAAACTAGATATTCCTTTATAGCCTTCAGAATGTCTTACTTTTCTGCTTTTACTTACATTTGCTATATGTCTCTTTGGACTTAACTCTGTACACGTTACTTTTGGAGCTACTATTTCTAAACTTTTGATTTTTCACATAGGAACGCAACTGAATATTAAAACACTAAATTTAATGAGTTCTGATTTACACTTGGTGATATGCAGCCATTTTCAGCTTAATAAGTGTTAACATATACTGACAAGGGAGAGCTTGACACGATCGCTGCCCATCCCCCGTCACTAAGCGAACCCCTCCAGGTAAGCCGACAGGTCGGCACGTTGTTCCAGAAGTGCATGCAGGGGACAGGTGAACACCGTGTCTCAGCATATCTGTTATTTATGTATGCTACTGTGGCTCGCAATAGCTTGAGACTTGGTATCACCAGGTGGTACATGCTGAATAGCCCACATCTTAGGATGGGACACGCTGTAGGTTTTGAAGCATTTGCAATTTTGGATTTTCATATTAGGGTTGCTCAAACCACATTCTATCTTATGAACAGGTCAAACTGTTTATGCATTCTTTATTGATGCACATATAAGTCTGTCCAGTTTCTATATATTTTTAAAAGATTAATTTATTTATTTTATGAGGGCTCTATCTGCACGTACACCTGCATGCCAGAAGAGGGCATCAGATCACATTATAGATGGTTGTGAGCCACTATGTGGCTGCTGGGAATTGAACTCAGGACCTCTGGGAGAGCGGCCAGTGAGTACTAACTGCTAGCCACGTCTCCAGGCCAGTTTCTGGGTATTACAGTGGAAGGACTATGAAGCCGTCACTGCGGTGCATGCCCGTCGTCAGAGGGCAGAGGCAGATGGGCAGCTAATTTAAAAGCAAGTATTCTGAATTTAAAATCAACTCACACTATATTTTAATTTACTTGTTTTCTAAAGTTATATTTGGATAATTAGAAATAGATTGTATATTTTTAGTACTTGAGAGACTATAAAACACTTTTCCCACAAATATAAAAATCAATAAAAAACATTTTCTTGTTGAAGTTTCTGTGGTTCTTCACTGGGATGGCTCCTTCAGCATCCAGACTTAGCTCCACCTCAGTCTCTAGGGCCTCAAGCCTCCCTCCTCATCCCTGCGCCACCATGCGGCTTCTCTCATGTGGTGACTACCTTATCATCTCTCTTCCCACTGGAAAAGAAATTTCATGTGAGAAACAGACTTGCTTCAGATATACAACAAATGTGTCTGGCAAGTAACAGAAGCTATACACTGATGACGGCTAGGCATTGAAAGAGCTAATGTAAAGTCTACATGTTTTTCCTTAGGACAGTCTTCAAAATTAGTGGTTTCCTTTATTTCTTCTTATTTTTTTGCTGTTTTATCGAAAGAGTATTGTTCTGTGGGCAAAGCTGGCCTGGAACTTACTAGGTAACCCAGGCCGGCAAACTCATAGCAAGCATCTTACCTCAGCCTGGGCACCGAGGTTATAAGCATGAGGCACTACACCCCCTCAGACTAGTATTTTTCGAACTTTTGTGATCACCATGTATAGTTAAAAATAGTACATTTTACTGTCCAATAGGCACACAGACCAATGAGACTGAAAAAAAAGTTTCACATGTACACATAAACCTGTCAAGTATAATAAATTTTGGCATATTCTATTCTATTTCGTTTTGTTAAAAATGATGGCTTGTTAAACTTATTTTCTATCCCCTTATTTCATAAAGACCTAAACTTTAGAAACAACACCCTAGGCTGGAGATCAATAACGTGGCATCTCCAAAGACTTAAAATACACTGTGACTCTGTGCGTGAGCTTGGTTTTAAGCAGAGCCCTGTGGCCTCCAATGAAGAGAAGCTCTGTGTCTCCTGTTGCATGCTCAGTATTGTTTGTGCTGCACCACACAAAATGAAGCGTGGAGAAGGCGTGGCTTACTGTAAGAATGGAGGTTGCGACAAGGGACGCATGGCCTTGGGAAACGACTAAGGTTCGGGCTCGAATCCCTGATTACCATCTACTGACCATGAGACCTTGCAAAAGTCCGAATCCCACCAGCTTCAGTCTTGTTATCAGGGAAGTAATGAGATTATTTTCATGGAGTTATGTACAATACACACTGCTGATACTCCATAAAATGGTTATTATTATATAACTAATGTTTCCAACAAAATTCTATGCAGAAATATAATCTTAAATAGTCATAATATATAAACGAACAAACCAGATATTTATCGTATGTAATTTCTACTTCAGAGCTGTACTTTCCCTCAGAGCTAACAGCATTGCTTTGCAGTAATAACAGTGTAGTTGGTCCCGTTTAATGGATCCATCAGTTGAAAAAGTGACCAAGCACCCCCAATTTGCAGCCTATGGAAAGCAACTGACCAAACTGTTCCCCTTTACCCATCAAAGCTATGATTACTATGAACAATCCGTGGCTTCCGCAACCCGTGCTCCTCACATCACTTAGCTGCCTGCTGCAGGGCGGAGGGGCTGCGCTGCCGCTCTGCTTGCTCCCCGCCTTGGAAGCTGCATCTCTTCTTGCTTGCTCAAGCAGAACTCTCGCTCTTTCTTTCAGCTCCTCTTGTCTGGATAACATTCGGTGCTTAAAAGCAAAGGTATAGAATTACAAGTCAAATCATACAAACACAGTTAAAGGTTACGTAACCTATAAAAATAAAGTCAAGTGCATAGCCTCCTCAACAGGAGTACTTATAGAAAATATTAATGTTGAGAAGAAACTATAGAATGAATATAGAAAGGCTGACAAAATGAAACATAAGGTTATTTTCTAATACTGGAAGAAATGTCAATATACGTTTTAAAATTCAGAATTTTTGTTATTATCAGTAATTATCGTGTGTGTGTGTGTGTGTGTGTGTGTGTGTGTGTGTGTGAGTGTGTGTGTGTGTGTAGGTGTGCATATGCCATAGTGCATGTGTGGATGTGAGAGGGCAACTTTGGGAAGTTGTTTTTCTCCTTCCATTGTGAGTTCTGGGATGAAAACTCAGGTCACGAGGCTTGCGTGGCAAGTGCTTGTACACAGTCGGCAACCCTCCTTAGATTTTATTTGAACTTAGTCTCATAAGGTGAGTGTCAATATGAGACTATATATTGTCTTCTCATAAGCACAGTATAATCGACCAAACAAAGATATAATACAAGGTCCAGTTCTATTTTTATGGTCTACTACAACTGACAGCTATGCATCTTTACTTACGTATCTTTATAATGTTGTAATATGTCTGCAACATTCTTTTAAACTTTAGGAAATATTTCCAAACAATCCCAAGCGGTTATTTATTTATTTAGTCAAAGGCCCAAGCTTGTTTTGAACTCTTTATGTAGCTAATCCAGGTTAGCCTTCGGCCCTCAATCACCTTGCCTCCGTCACCAGAGTTTTGGGATTCCGGGCATGTGGCACCACACCTGACTAATGCTAAAACATTCTGTAAAAACAACCCGCAAAACTGTTCTCCACTGACTGTTCTCTTTATAATCAAACAATCTTATCAGAACTGAAAACTATTATGGACTAATTAGGAACTTTACAGTGCGTTTTGGAGAACAACAAGTATTGGCCACAAATGGAAGCCAGTTCTTAAGAACAGTGGTATCCATCAAGAGCAAAATATCCACACTAGTTTACGAAGTTTAGATTCAGACAGACCTAAGTTCCACTTCTTAATTATAGGCAAGCTGCTCAGTTTCCCTAAGTCCGTCTACTTGTGGGTGCAGTGGGCAAGAGTGGACCAGCTCATACAAGCACAGGGTAAGAGAGTTAGGTAATGAGCGCCGGCACATGGTGAGCACAAGATTAAGTATTACTATATTCGAAGTCCTTCAGCTTCCCCATCTTAGAAATAAAGCGACTGAGCCGCCTCCAGCGCCCACTGGTCTGAATTCTGCAGCACTCAACTTCAAGCTGCTGCATAGACACTGCTTCCAATTCAGAATGTACTTCATATTTATTATAGGGATTTTAGAAACTAAATGCAAGTAAAAACAGCAACAGCTCGGTAGCCATGGCACCCAGGCGTCATTCCGTACAGCCATATCCACCTTTCTGTACTGTGCTTGCACGCCACACCCAGCCTCACCAGACTTCTTTCACTTAAATATCTGAGCACCTGAAAATATCTTCTGATGACGATATGCCTTTCTCTTGAAAGCATGATTCCTACAGGGTGCCACACATTCTCTTCCATAGATGGATAATATTTTATTTTCCTGGATATATAGGGTGTTGGCAAGTTTTTCACTATCACAAATGCTTTTATAAACATTTTTATAGATTAACTGTTGATACATTATTTTCTTAGGTAAAATTTCTGAGAGTAACATATTATTAGATTTCGATGGCACAATAGGATTGAACTCAGAACCACTGAGCTATGAACTAGCCATATTTAACTTTATTTTGAGACAGAGTCTTGATAAATTACTCAGGCCGGTTCAAAGTTGTGATGCTCCTGACGAAGCTTCCAGAGAACCTGTGACTGACAGACACATGCCACATTATCTAGCTTTTCCCCCCATCAAAGCCAGTTCAACTAATTCTCCTGTCTCTGCTTCTGAGCCTGGCCAACATGTGGGGGGGGGGGGAGGGGCACGCACACACAGGCCAGAGATAAAGCTGTGTGTCCCCTGACGACCGTCCACCTTATTTTTACGGACAGGAACCACCAGCAGCGTGGCGAGGCTGGGGCCTCTGAGTCCCAGGAACCTACCTTCCCCTTTCAGGTACCACGATGACAGATGCACACTTTCGCACTCAGCTTTTTATGTGGGTGTTGGGGACCCAGACTCAAGAGTTCATGCTTTCTGCTCAGCCCCAACACAAACATTTCTAAGGTAACTCGATACACACTGCTAAAAACGCCCTGCAGCCGACCGACTGCTGTACATTTGAGCTCGGGGGTGTTTTTCAGGGCTATTGTGATCAAAACCAGAGGCATGTGAACATGAAGAAGAGCACGGATATCAGAGCTAGAAGCTGGGTTTTCAACTTAGACTTTAAAGTTTATCATATAACTGCAAGTAACTTCTTAAGCCCTGCTGTCCCACACATCAAACAGGCTCCGACCCCACATGTGCTATAGCAGTGAAGGAAGACAGCTCAGCTACATAATTATCCTATGTACTAGAGACCGAAGTGGTGTGTCTCTAATTCCAGAATCATCTGTAGCTCCTGTGAGCTAATGCTCAGAAGATTCACGCTATTTTTATTAAGTACTGAAAAAGAACAATCACTAACAAATTCTGGTATAACATCCTTTTCCCAAAGATTTCACAGACATTAAATACAAAAAGAAATGTATCTGAAATTCATAACTTAATATCTGAAAGAGAAGCAGATATCTGTATGTGTGAGACACTCTTTTTGTCAACACAGTGTCAAACGAACCATTACAGTTATCCTAAGCAAAACCCCTTCCTTACTTCAATCCTTTTATCATGATCTTGTGTAGCACAGGCTGGCCTGGAACTCATGGGCATCACCACCTTTCTCTACGGGGACGGGATCACAGGCATGAACTACCACAGCTGACTCGACTCCAAGCAGACGTTTAGGCCACAAAGCATGGCCGAAGAACAAGCACACGCGATGCTGTAATCAGTGGGTGGTTTTACCACCTGCGCAGCGCACGTGTGGGTGGGTCACAGCAGAAATGAATCTTTGAGTTAAATGGATTCCTAGATGTTAGTTTATGTAACCTCTATGGGAAATAAAACTGACAGTTTAAAATGCCAGCTAATATATCACGCTGTTAATTACTGGAGGAAAATTCAAAATGAGAATTCAGGTTACTAGATTGATTCTAATTTTAATGCTTAATCAGTTTGTATCTTTAAATATATTTGCCTCGATATATGGTTTATAAGAAAAATCTGTGTTGGATAGAACTAAGGTTCATTAAATTCTGTAGTTGTCATCCAGCAGATATTTCTTGGGTAGCTACTGTGTATAAACCCTGTTGCTATCACAAAAACTTTCAGAGAGATTTACTTAGAACCTTTACAACTTCTATTTGGGAGAACAGAAGCTTATTTTGAAAGCTACAATTCTGTTTTCTAATTGTAAAATTTACCTCAGACAATTGTGCGAATTAATGGCTTTCACTGTGACATTTCCACTCAGGCATGCATAAACTGTGCTTGGATCAATTCTGCCTTCTCTTCTGTTGTACGTCTTTGAGTCTGACATTTCCATTCTTTTAGCACACCTCTGCAAACTCATCACCGATGGCATGCACAGTGAACGACCCAGTCGCGGCTCGGACGTGGCCGCCTGCCTGAGGTGGTGCTGCAGACGGTGTGGCTGCGGTGCTTCGGTGTCCCAGACGGCACTGCCCTCCCTCACAGTTAGTTTCCAGGCCCCTGTGGCGTTCACGCGGCCGCTTGGGCCAGTTGTACAAAAGAGCACAGCACGTCTCACACGCACACCCGCCCATGCACTCAACATGCGGACTTTAAAGGTTAATGGAGGACAAGGACGCTGCACAGTGTAAGTCACAGCACTTTCTCCAGTCCCTTTGAGTTGTGCTTGGCTAAAATAGATGTGGATGCTGTGGATATGAAACTAAGAGCAGTAAGTTGGGGCGGGGGAACACAACTCCAGATTATTTTCCAAATTTTCACACTGACATTCTCTAGTAAAATAAAATAAAAAAATAATTTTCATCAATTAGTATTGCTGACTTAGAAGACAATCAGAGCTGGACAGACTAAAATTCTTAAGTTCTCAATATTTTGGACTCAGCAACTCTTTACATGCTTAACAACTCGTAAGAATTGCAAAGAAATATACCCACGGATAGTAGCCATTTTGGGAAAATTGAAAATTTGAAATTTCAAAATGTATGTTTTCATTTAGAAAGAGCAAACACATTAAATCATAACATTTTAATTAAAACCCCTGCTTTAAAAAAACAAACACAAACTAATAAGGACTGGCATTTTCCATTTCATTAACAGAAAAGCATCTAAGGACCAGTGAGATGGCTCAGCGGACAACATCACTTGCTTCTAAGCCTGACAACCTGAATTGGATCCCTGAACTCCCCAGCGGACATAACCAACTCCTGAAGTTGTCTGTGTGTGCGTGTGTGTATGTGTGTGTGTGTGTGTATGACCTACAATAATAAATACTTGAACAGAGCAGCAGGATTTCCGGACACTTACATCCAATCTGCTGGAATATAGGAATAATACAGCCTTTAGAAAACACCGTTATTTATTTGTGAGAGAATAAAAGTGATAAAGATAAGTGATGTCCTAGAATGAAAATGATTTAACTTTGGGTGTTTTTTGAAGAGCTTCAGTGCCCCCCCTCCCCCGTTGTTTTCATTTGTCCAATACTCGGGACTGGTCCTAGGGCCTCAAGCATACTGGGCACCCCTCCTGCTCTGAGCTACATCCCAGGCACTCAAATAATATGATGAGAACCACTTCAGAACTGCCATGCTTTAGCAGACTCCGTGAATCTGCAGAGGTCAGAAGAGGTGGTGGACTCCCTGGAGCGAAGTTACAGGGAGCTGCGAGCCCCGACACTGTGCTGGGAACTAACCTTAGGTCCTCTTGGGGAGCGGAATGTGCTCTTAGCTGATGAACCCCTTCCCCACCCCCAGTAACAGCACTGGGATTTGAAAAGCTGACGCTCCTGATCCTTCAACCTTACATATTATGGTGCCAACTTTAAACATACAGCAGTGTGGTCTTTATAATTTCCTATAAATGAGACCTTGCTGGTCATGTCTGACATCTTAATGTGCGCTATCAACAAAAAAGAATAAACAGACAGAATAGCTACTTATTAACTATATTCTGTCATTCCGACTCACTTACCTGAACTGTTTTGGTGGAGTTATCTGCATGATTTAGAGTGTTTCTGTCCGCATCTGGATCCGACTCTGTCTGCCTCAGAGAAGCACATATTTTTTTCCCAAAGTCTGTATCTCTATTGTATGAATATCCAAGAGTAGAAGGAGGGGACAAACTTGGCTTTTTGATAGCTGATTCACCATCCAATCTGCATTCTACGGATCTGGAATTCTCCATTTTCTCTTCTTCCAAGTCACTATTGGTATTTACAGTCTGAAGCTTTTGCTCATAAGATGAGGGTGGAGACACATCCTTCTTTTGACCGCTGACATGTAAGTCACTTAATTCTAAGTTCTCAGCTTTTAGTAGCCTCTTCTTGCCTAACAAAACCAGCTCTTGGGCTGAACTGGTACTAGAACTTAGCCCAGGGTCATCAGACCCTGAAGTCCTTCCTGAGCTCTGCTGGGACTTTTGAGGCTCCGTGTCACTTTTAGTCCTGCGGCAGTAAGGGGAGGCTGTGCTTGGACTCAGGCGAGCATGTGGAGTCTGGTGTTCACTTTCTGACTCTTTCACTCCGCTCTCAGTAACAAACACGGAGTCCTCCCGCGACAGGAGGTTCACGGCCCCACCGGCAGGCTGCTGTGCTTCAGGCTCCCGCTTTAGGTCGCTGAGCTCGGCATAGAATTTTTCTTGATCCACAGAACTGTTTGTATCTGTTTCGTAATTTCCAACTTTATACGTGCTCTTGCTGCTGTTTTCCTCTATCTGAACCACATTCAGTTCTTGACCGCTAAAATGTGCCCTTATTTGATAGAGATAAGTCATAACCGTCAGCTTGTCAGGGATTGCTAATAAAACCATATCAGAAGGTTCCAGTAAACGGGAAATTCCAATGCTGGCAAATCCATCATAAGCCTTCAAAGAGAAGAAGGGACAAACAAATGATACACTGAAAAGCTCAAACATCTATTTTAAAGAGAGCAAAATTTTAAAGCTTTTTGTTATTGTAGGGTGCATAAAATTACTGACACTATACTGCAGGAAAATAATAAAATTTCAAGAAAAAATGAGCAAAAAGGAGAAAAGAGAAAAATCTTACTAAATAACATTCATCTATAAGCAAAAATGTGAGTTCAACAAAAATCTTAGAATAAACTTTTAAGATAAGCACGGAGGGATGAAGAAATGTTAGACTACCGCATGGCCAGCTTTTATCATCCCTGTGTGCCCTTCACGCATGCCATTACAGTGAAGAGCACTGCTAGGCAAGTCCAGAGGACTATTACATTATTTGCTATAAAATACAAATAAATGTTATTTACTCCTAGAGCATAGAAACATTCTTAAATGCACACTTATGCTTGCTTTCATAATGAGGATAGTGACTATTTTTACTTCATCTGTTCTGGAGAGGATGAAATGTTTTGAATACCGCAACATACCTGAGCCTGTGAGGCCGCATTGTATTAGTTTGTTAGCCTTTAAATGGCTGTGGCACATCAGGTTTTTCTAGTTTTGAAGAACCAAGGGTGTTTCTCAATTTACAATTAATTATTACTATCCTGAACTAACCCTTGAAACAGCATTGTGTTGCTAGGAAGCACTCAAAGTCTCGCTGAAGGGTTAGGTAGCCGGTCAGAAAGGAAGGACTCTGCAGAAACATTACTGTGTTTAGACATTAAAAATCCCTTATTCTTGACAACCTGCACTTAGAAGCACAAATTTCATGTTTTTCTTAAAAGAAATGTTAGGAAATTATTTAATCAAAGTATTTTTGTACTTTTATATTAAATTCCTGCCTTTGAATTTAATCTGTATTCTTTCTGTATCTTTAAGAAATGTTAAGAAAGAAAATGAAAAATAAATTGTGCTGTTAAGACCTATTCAATTTTCACAAAATAATGCTTTATAATATGGGTACTTCAAAATATCTGCTACAGAAGTGGCTCAGTTGGTGTGCATGTATAGACTTGTTTGTTCTTTTACATGTTTTAGGAAAATTAAAGTAATTTTCTCCCTTGTGTGCCCTGACTACTTGACTGACAGACATCAATAGCAGACCATCAGGAAAAGCACCACAGGCAGTATTCTAAACATTTCCTAATTATCTAAAAGCTGACATATTGGTTAAGATCAGATGCCACAGGTAAATACCTTTTGTACTGAGTTCTTTTTACAGACCTGAAAAATTATTAGCTTCCCTGTGAGGAAACTCCTGCTGGTGTTTTGCTTCACGCAGTAATTCATTTTATGCATAAAACAAACCTGGTTTCTTATATGTGAGGTAAAAATTTTGTCAAAGAATTTCCTACAGGTTAACGTCTGCCATGGTCACTCACGTGATGTGATGGAGGAAGAGAGGGTTTGTTTGTTTAAAGAATGACCCAGTTGGTGTGTTTGTCTGTTCATTTAGTGTGCGCGCGCACGAGGGCACCGTGCAGGGGCATGGAGCACAAGGCTGCAGTGGTGTGCACAGTCTGAGGATAACTTGTGGAGGTTCATTCTCTTTCCACCATGTGAGTCTTGAGGACAGAACTCAGGTTGTCAAGGGCTTGGCAGCAGGCACCTTTTCCCGCTGAGTCATCTCATTAGCCAAGGATTTTTTTCAAAGAACATTGTCTTATTTTAAGGTGTAAAGTTAGTTAAGGAAGCGTCACTGACAATTACAGTACAAACAAAAGTGAAACTTTAGATGAAGAATTTTTTCCCTCAGATGTCGACAGCACAAAGAACCTTGTAAAACAGGAAATAACCTGCAGGTAGCAACTAAAATTCTCAATATAGACATCATGTAAAGACGTTCTACCACTATGCATGTTGGCATGTACTGAAGAGTGTCTGAAAAGAACCAGGGTTAAGAACCTTGTAGAACTCAGGGCTATCTGCCACGGAAGAGCTAGCTGGCGTCTGGGGACCCAGCCGGGATCTAGTCACGCTGAACACGTTACTTAGCTGCAGCCCCAGTCTCAAGAAAGCGTGGAAATGGAACATTCTTCCCTGTGCAGTAGCATGCAAACCCGTATGTAAGTCAAAGCTACTCCAGCCTTAAGGAGATTCTCTGCGTGTATTTAAAAATACATGCAGTTAGGCAAAATCAATAATGTTTCCATTTCAAAAATCAGAACAGCAAAGGAAAGCTCCACTCAAAAAGTAACCATCATTTAATTGACAGGGTATTGCTATGCTGCTCAGGCTATTCTTGAACTCACAAGCTTAAGAGTTTTCCTGCCTTATAAGTACGTGGCACAACTGACTGGCAATTAGCAGTTCATTTTATAATGCTTATATCTGCACTTAAATTAGTTTGGCACTTTATTCAATTGCAGGGAAATGAAAATAAAGAAATGCCACCTCTATGGATATAGTATAAATAGTGAGGGAAAAGGCGTTTTACTTTAATAAATACACGCCTCCTAAAATGATGTAAGAGGTAATTCATGAGAATGACTTACTTGTTGAATGCCTCCCAGAAAGTGTGGGGATTGAGCCCAGACCTTCAAGTTTTCTTTTCCATAGCTAAGCCCTAGCCCCCACAAGGTAATCGCTATGAAGAAGGAGCATTAATTTTCAAAGACTACCTACCCCTTTGGGATGGCGTACAAAGCAATGAGACTGTTAAGTGTATAACTCGACTATCCACATCAAGCAAAAACAACTGCTTCAATTTAAGTTCTTGTTAATTAAACCTCTACCAAGATGCTAAGATTTTAAAAAAAATGATAGTTCCATCTAATTTAAAAATTTAAAGTACATTAAAATTTTTTGTCTCAACCAGAGATTAACCACCTTGTTTTCTGAGCTTCTTTGTCATTGTATTCCCTTCTGAGAATAAAATTTTATAGCTCTAAAGCACACAAAAGAAAAAAGAGTAAGTTATACTAAAAGTACAACTATTAAAATATAAAACTGAATTTGTAAAGAGTAAACACATTTTAAAGAACATATTAACGAATATATGTATGAATATAGGCACATATGTGCACACACACACAATCTCATGTGGCCCATGCTGACCAAGGACCTTGAACTAATCCTGCTTCCAGCTGCCAAGTGCTGGGATAGTAAGAGTGAGCCACCATGTCCAGTCAGTAATTCGTGATCTGAAGGAGTTCTAAAATGTCATTTGTAGAGATCTGCAGCAACTGGGGTAAGAGATGAAGATTCACAACTGAAGAATTACGACACAATATATTACACAAAATGTTCTCCTCCAACTGTCTTACAAGGACTTGCTGAATTCTATCTACACACGCACTTACAGATAAAATCTACAGGTTAAAAATGCCTACTCTAAGACAACGAGAACATTGCTTTTTCAGTTGAGAAATTCAATTCAGCACAAGCACTCACATATACCATGAGCAGAGTTTGATATTGTTTGCCCATTGAAAATCACATATATCATATGGCACACACGATAAACACATTTATCAGACTTAGCCGCAGTCAGCTGGCCCACAAAACTCTAGCAAATCCTCCCTATGCAGCTGCCCTGAAGGCTGATGGGATCAAAATCCTCACATGCCAGTTAGAAAGTTCTGATCAAGTATATACATGAATATATATGTTTACTAGAATGGGAAAAAGAAACATTGTTTATCCTTGCTTTGCATTTACAAGCCGATGCATTCTATTTGTTTGCCTCTTAGATCCATGCTTTTCTCTCCTAAAATATTGTTCTAAAATTATGGAATAGTTGTGAAAGCTCTGGGTATATTCTCCAAAAGCTCAGTGCTGTACTAGAGCAGTGCTCAGCAGTTAAGGATAAGCACGCACATGCCCTGATGCCTGCCTCGCATTTACGACCCTTGAAGTCAGCGGCAAGCCAGAGTAAACTACGCATCCTACTTAAACTGCAGGGCGCAGGCCACCTCGGCCAGCTGCGGGTACGACCTCACCCCACACCATCTCTTTTCTCGAGTTAGTAAAAATCCTGCAGTGAAGCCAGAAGTGAAACTCTGTCCGCCCCTGGCACTTCTTACCTTTTTGTTGTTTTCTTTAATATCTTGAGGATTCAGAGACTTGTAGTCACTGAAAGGAAAAAATAAAATAAAAAAGGCACAATGGGTATAAAAATATTTGATAAAAATAAATTTTTGTAAAACAAACTGAATCTAAAATCTGATATTTAATAATACCAAGTGGTAACTGACTAGCAAGCTCACAGAAGTTCAATCAACAAGGCTAATAGTACGGAAAATTAAGGAAGCAACAGACAAACAGTGAGTACATGTTTCACTGCCTGAAGCTTTTCATCTGAAAGAGAGGTTAAGGCAAAGGAGCCCTGACAACAACATTTACCATGCCTTATTATCAATATGCAAAGGGCTACATGTAGGCTTATTTTTCTCTTATTTAAAAACTAATAAGAACTTCATAATAAAGTCAGTTTTTAATAAGATTAAAGAAAAAAATCATTTTAAAAAAACGGGAAAACTATTTCTAGGTAATGAGAAAAAAGTTGGTTTTCTGGGATATACATCTCTTAAAAAAGTTCTGTAGTTCAAAACCAGAGACAGTCCAGTATTTTAGAATGCATGCTAAGAAGTTACCCTGTGTTCTTTTAAGACTGCCTGCTCTATACAGACATCTATGACAATTCCACTTACATCAAGTCTGGCCTGAAGTGGTGTAAGATTGCACAGAAAGATAAACCATTTCTCCACGACGTAGTAAAGTTAGTGATTTTCACACCCCGGTAGTTTTTCGTAACTTCTTTGCACCACGCAAGCAGCGACTGACTAGCATTTGGCTTTTGCCCCAGAACAGGACTTGGTATTGGGCTTGGCTAGAATATAAGAAAGAAAGAAAGAAAAAAGGGTGGGAAGGGGACATGAAAAGAACCTAATGGAAGATAAAAATTAACATTAATTGACCTAGCTAGATCATTTGAAACCTTTGATGTCAGTTTAAGTCCTTCAAGACTGTCAATTCACGACAACTGTTGCCTCGGAGAGGGAGGGAGACACAAATCTTAAGTTATTATCTTCAGTTTTCGCCCATGGCACCTGCCTGACAATGAGGTAGATAAGCAACATCTTAAACTTTTGGTAAGAACAAGTCATGAGTGTCCACGATGAAAACATCATGTTAAAATATTTGAATACCTAAGGCTAAATATTGGAGTAACTCTTACACACAAAATGCAATCATAAACAAGTAAGACTGGATAAAAACAATGCAGCATAAACTGCAGTACTGCAACTAGTTTTGGGTATTGAGAAACACCCTAGTGCAGAAATCAAGTCACAGTAAATGTAAAATACAGCACAACACAACGATATTCCTCTATAAAAATGTAACAGCAACATGAACAGTTTTAATTATCAGCAAAGACACATTTGGTGCCAATAGCACGCAACAGTATATATCCCCTTTACCTATATACTTATCAGCATAATCATGAAGACAGAACTAAGACTGTATTTTAAGACTTTAAAGTTTTATTTTTCTTAAAATCATGTCACTGAAATAACTACAGTGTTTTATCATAATTGTGAAGAGTGATACAACTGAAAACTATAAGAATCCTACTTAATATTTTTGGACCTTAATCCAAATTAAAATCAAAATTAATCAAAATTGTTAGCTATGAAATCAAAAGAGCCTTGTAAAATAAGAGAACATTCATTTATCCTGACATCGTAAGTTTAACCAATGATTCATTCTTACAATAATGCTTGAGAGATCAATAATGCCCCATTTGACAGCAGCAGGCTAGTGCTAAACTATTAAAATAATCAACTAGGAATCACCATATAGGCAATTTCTCATTTCTATTATCAGAGTAACAAGGTATTACATAAGCAGTCACAGACCTGGCCGAGCTCTGACGGCCCCTACAAAGCAAATTCTAAACAATTTACTAATCATAAAAACCAACGTATTCCGGTCCGGCTGGATGGCTCAGTGATTAAAGGCATGTGCTGCCCAGCCTTCTGATTATGCTACCTAATACGAAGAAGGACATAAAATTAATGTCCAATTATAGGACATTTACTTTAAATAACTCATTTAACTTTCAGCCTAATGTGTACAAATGAAGTAAAGGGCCCACTGTGACTTTCAACTGGCTGAGAGTGCTATGAAACTAGGGGACCCATTCTGTAGGCACATGTACATTTTCCTAAATTTTCTATTATTTATTTCTCTATCACTTAAATAATCACCTTTGTTAAAATATTTTCCATATGAAATTGTTAAAGCACAGAACCATCTAAAAATTGGTTATGTGCCAGGCAGATAATCTGCACTTATCATTACAATGATTCATTTGAAACATATGCCATTATAATTACGAATATATCCCTATCTCAAAAAAGGTCTAATATAAGAAAGCTAGAAAAGCTAAGCTAAGATTTGGATTTGTTCAGACCATAAACCTGTATTAAAAAGAACAATTCACTTTTAACAAAAAGAAATCATATACAATTGAGAAAACTGATAAAATTACAAGTCCCATAAATGGTAATGTTTACAGAAAACAGAGAATTAGTAGATATACTAAATGAATCATCAAGTTGTTGCCCTTTGATTTATTATTTTGCAGAGGGTCATAAAAAATTAATAAATCACTTTGAAAATGTCAACCTGTAGCTGGATAAGAGTTTCCTCATCTGTAAACGGGAGATGGTAACTATAACCAGGTAAACAGAAATAGATACACAGTATTGTAGGAACAAGACCTCCCTCCTCACTACCTCCTGCCTCCCACTTTTCCTCTTGATCACTTTCAGCAAAACTCATCTTGTATTGCCCCTTACTTTGCCCCTTTGAGGACATTATTTCCACCTGCCTGGTGCCCTCAGATACTTGAACAGTAACGTCAACACAACCTTCTCAGCTTCCATATTCTGGCACTGTCAGAAGAATGCAACCCAGTTCTGTCATCCAACCCCAAACAGCTCTCCTGACTGCTCCTACCTTGCTCTATTTTTCCACAGTACCTACCTTCTTGTGGTCTGTGTATTTATGTTATACTTACTAGTTACCGTTCATCTGTACTAAATAAGAACTCTTTTAAGTCAATACTTTCAATTTACTTATTTACTAACCTATCTCAGCTTTCCAGATTAATTCTCGATGCAAAGTAAAGAATCAGTAAATACTGGTAAGTGAAACAAAACACTTAAGAAAAGATACGGCAGGCTATTCGGTAGTGGCAACTACAATGACAGGGTTACCAGGCCCCGTCAGGACCAGCTATCAGCACGCACCACAGCGGGGTATGTCCCCACGCACCATGAGCCCCGAACCGCCCCCACGTGCTCACAGCATTACACTGTCAACCGGCCACCATCAGCATGGATGTTCCTGAGGCTCCTTTCTGGTTTCAAAGTCTATGGATTTGTTTAAGAAAATGAAGGAACACTTTTTTGTTTTTTGTATTATATCTTGATAGTCTGTGTATGGAACAAGGCTCATGCAGTTTATCTGATGAAACAAGCTTTGAATGAATAATGTATTGTTTTCCAAAGAAAAGAAGACGTCAAAATTTATCCATCAAAGGTAGAAATGAAGGGCCAGGCATGGTAGCGCACACTTTTAATGCCAGGACTCAGGAGGCACAGGCAGGTGGATCTTTGTGAGTTCAAGAATTCAACTCTACCTAGTAAGTTCCAGGACAGCTAAGACTACATAGAGAGAACTAGTCTCAAAAAAAAAAAAAAAAAAAAAAGGTAGAAATGAACAAATATAATTTTAATATATGAACATACCAGATTACTCTTAAAAATAAGATTACTGAATTATTCCTATCAATAGCAATGGGATCTCTTTCAGAAACCTAAATAACTCACGGTGAAATTTCCTAAATTTTAGTAGCGACGGGAAATTGTAGTTTCAGCTCCTTCTGTTCTACCCTTGTCTACAGTTTCCCTCTTCTGCAGCCTCCCTCTCGTCCAGAGACACAGCCACGCCTTCCTTTATGTATTCTCCAGATGTCATTCTTCCCATCCACACTTTCAACATAATTCACTTTCAGGGTTCCACACAAATGATTCCCAAATACACTGTCTCAAGATGACATTTCCAGCTGGCTATCCTTCCTGCTACATAAAATTTTAACTCATGTTAAAATTATGTTTAAAATCATAATTTTCCCTTGTAACGTGCTCATTTTCATTGTGTTTAAAAATGATACTGCTATCGTCCCAACTACATGGATTTCAACCTCAGAATAATTAAAATTTTTATTTTATATATCATTTCTCACCAGTTAATTCATAGGAAATTACATATTCGTGTTACGGTTGTGACTTTTTTGCAGTCTTGTAATCTATCTCCTCTTGCCTAGGTTACTGCCTTAGCCTTCCCTTTCCTAACCCATCATCAAAGCACAGTTCTTACAGCACACCTAACATCTCTGGTGCTTCTCAACCAGAGTACATCATTCTGCACACTAAAACCTGCCCCGAAGTATGTTTACTAGTAGGAGTCCCCATTCTCTAAACCCCCGTGCTTTCCTGCCTAAGCCCCAGCTTCCCAGTCTCCAGAGTGCCATACAGATCATCACTTCTACTCAGAGTAACTTGTGTCACACACACAACCGTGACAGTGACACACTCTCCTTCACTTAATTCCAAATCAGCAGGCAGGAGCCCTTTTCAATGGTCTTCTGATCTTCAGTGTCTCCTACTACAATTTTCCGTGGCTCTTACATGATGTTTCTGACTAGAGCATCTTCTTACAATGTTCAAAGAATACACGCTGAGTATCAAACACATGCTTCGCATATGTCCCACAAGACCTTTGGGATAGCAATGACCGTCTCTAAGATACAGTCAAAGAAACCCAGGCTACAGAGGCAGGAAGCAGATGGACTATACATACCGTAATGTCTCCACACCAAACTCCGTCCTCTCAATATACATTTCACATTCCAAGGTAATGCAGCTTGAAAATCCCAGTAGACTATGTATTTCTTGAAAGTAGCAAAGGTCTTAGTTAACTAGTTAACTTCAGAACTTAGATTACTGCCCTAATATGTTAAATTAATTGGTTCAGGAAGTCACCAGAAGCCCGCCTCACTATTTTGCTACTCTGGAGGCTAAGAAAAAAAAGAGGATCACCAGTAAAGACCATCCTGGGAAACACAGCAAGACCTAGTGTTCATCCTAGTAAAAGAAACCAACAAATGACCCAACGGCAATTACTCAAAACAAGTTAAAACTCAGGAGTTCCTAGTGAAACCCACTTGTCCATTATGCTGGACTTTTGGATTGTGGACTAGAATTAGAATAAGAAACTAACGAAGATCAGTTCTGTAAGATATTCATTATTATTGCTAAAACTGATAAGTATTTTGGTCTTTATGTGAGGATTCTTGGAGACTTTCTGCAATTATTGCAAATCATGGTAAAGAACATTGGCTAGATCTGACTTTAGCATTTGGTAAGTCAAGAATAACAGCAATGGTGAGAAGAAGAACATCTGCATCTGTATTATTCGTGTATCTCTGTTCCCGTCCCCTTCCTCCCTCCCGTTTCCCAAAATGACACCACTTCATCTCTCTCCTGTCCTTTCCCTCTCCTTTCAATCCTCCCTCCACCCCCAAATAAGGGTTCTCTAGTCCAGCCTCTGGCCTAAGTAGGGAAGTATGGCCTTAAACTCCTTATCTTCCTGCCTTATCAGAGTGCTAGAATTACAGGCTGTGGTTACACTAGCATACAAACACAATAGAGAATGAACCCAGGGAATCATGTGTGCAAAGCAAGCACACCATCCAAGCTATACCCCAGCATTTCTCTTTTATAGTAAAAGTGGTGAAGTCTATGAGGCTGTGAAATA